TTCTCCTGTTTGGTTCCTCCCCTCTGTTTGTTTCCTCCCTCTGTTTGGTTCTCTGTCTCACTGTGTCCCAGAGGGGCTCAGTTAATGTGATGTTCCATTAGTGTTAAGGGTTTTGAACTTATTTCTCTGCAACATACCTTTATTGCATGGATGGTCAAAGGGTTGCAAGAGTCAACACACGTTATTGGCATTAGCGGTGTGTGTGTGTGTGTGTGTGTGTGGCGCGTTTGTTCAGTGGCGCAACGCTATACAGGCGCTGGCTGACTTAGAGTGAGCTAAACCAGCACAGTGCCCCACTAACTGTGTCACTCTCACTCACCTCTGCTTCACCTAACTCACCTGTCCACTAGCATCCACTGTACGTGTGTGTGTGTGTGTGTGTGTGTGTGTGTGTGTGTGTGTGTGTTCGTATATGTGTGTGTGTTTCTGTATATATCACAAGCTAGGTCACACACACACACACACACACACCTCATAGATAATAGGAGAGGTGAAAGAATATTAGAGGGGGAAGATAATTCCGAAATTGAAGAAATTAGGAGAGAGAGAGGCAGCTGACCTGACCTCCTTGCTGTGGGTTAGCTGAGGTAATAGTTTGTTAGGGTAATACATGCCTGCCCTTATCTCAATCCACTCCCCCTCACCCACCTCCACTCCACCCCCCACCCACCAGGAGCAGCCGACCAGTAGTCTTTAATGTGTCAGTGGGTTTTTGTCGTGGTGATGAGAGAGAGAGAGAGAGAGAGAGAGAGCTGGAGGTAGTGGGTGAGTGGAGAGGTAATGAATGGGTGATTGGTGGGTGACTGGGTGGGTGACTGGGTGGGCAGGTGGTGGGCTGGTGGGTAGGTAGGGGTCGTATATGTATATGAGGTAGTTTTGTATTTTCATATTGTATTGTGTTGTTTGCTTTTGTTTACATGGTGTAGTAAACAGATTTGTGTGGATGTGAACAGCTAGCTTTCATGCCCTGTTTATAGTTATTGTTTGTGTTGATTGTTTGTTTTTGTGTACAGGTGCTAGTAAACAATTTAATTAATATTTGTATTTTTCATTTATTGTTTGCTTTGGTTTGTTAGGTACAGTATTTGTATATATTGTTTGACATACTTCTCTTTGTTTGGTGTACAGGAGACGGCAAACAATTTGGGTAAACTTGTATACTTTCATGTTAAATATTGTTTGATCAGCTGTTGTTTACCTGGTGTACTTATAAGGTAGTTGTAAACAGATTGGGAGACGTGATTTCATTCTACTGTTTTGCTTGCTTAGGCGTGGTAGGTACTTTCATCGAATTTGTTTGACCTGATTTGTTTGTTTGGTTGATGGTGTTAAGAGAACAAATCAAGTATGTGTAAATACCACTGAAAAATCCTGTTTTTGCTCATCGTGTTGTTTACTTTTGTTTGTTTGTTTGTTTGGTTCAGTGTGTGTGTGTGTAACTTGGTCTGTTTATTTGTTTGTTTGATCTGGTTTGTTTACCTGTCCTAATCTAGCTTTGATATAACTTAATTAAACCGTAGCAATACCTGACCTAACCTAACCTCTCTATCTTCATTCAGTCATTGTTCAGTTATCGTACAGCGGTTGATTCTGTCTCAAAGGTTATTCAATCACCGGCCAGACAAGTGTGTGTGTGTGTGTGTGTGTGTGTGTGTGTGTGTGTGAGACTGCATGAGACTGTAAGTTATTATCGTTCACCCATAATAAAGTCAAAGAACCAATCAGGCCTCGGTTTCATCACGACACGTCGGGGCAAGAAAGATGTAACCTGAGAGAGAGAGAGAGAGAGAGAGAGAGAGAGAGAGAGAGAGAGAGAGAGAGAGAGAGAGACTTAATTATTCTTCATGTCTTTAAATTCCATTGTAATAGCGGCACCACCTTTAAGACGAGAGAGGGTATTGTTATCGGTGTGTGTGTGTGTGAATGAGTCATAGAAACAAGATGCTGCATTAAGAATAGTTAATTTGTCTCGTTAGTGTTATTACAGCAGTTTCACCTGTAATTACCTCACTTGAGAATACCTGGAGAAACCTGGGTATTGTTATCGGGATTGTAAGATTTATTATTGAAGTTATTGTTATCGGGAAGGTATTGTTATCGGCAGTGTATAACTTCTTGGGATGTTATCTGTATTGTGTAATTGATTATCGGGTTATCAGTGTTATCGGAAGTGTGTGATTTTGTTATCGGTGTTGTATTATTTTCTTGAAGATTATTGTCATTATCGGTTTATAATTTGTGATATTACTGGTTTATTTTTTCATTATAATTTTATCTAAGAAATTAAACCTTATATCAGACATACGTAACTACGGACAAGAGGTTTAATTCGGTTTAGACATGAATTAAACACTAACTGGTCTTAACTTAATTTAACAGCCTAGATTAGATTGGACCAAAACGTCAAGCTAATAAAGACCTCAACGCCAGGCTAATGATTACCTCAACGCCAGACTATAGGAACAACAACGCCAGGCTACATTGGACCACAACGCCAGGCTCATAAAAACCAGAACGCCAGACTAATAAAGACCTCAACGCCAGGCTAATAAGAACAACAACGCCAGACTATAAGAACAACAACGCCAGGCTAAGACTAGACCTCAGCGCCAGGCGAGAATAACGCTGACTGTACAGGTATACACAAATGTACAATCCTCAGTAAAGGTAAACTTGACGAGTATGCCAAATGTCTCCATGGTACGCTGTGTTGCCGGCGTAGATCAGCCGTTCGGTTGCGTAGGTAATAATTCAGGTATGGGTCACCTGAAGATTACGCACCCTAGATTATTTCCACCTGATAATGTAACACCTTAACGGTACCTGTGGGGTGTTGGGTTTGGTTAGGTTTAGCTTGGTTTGGTTAAGTTAGGTTAGGTTAGCTGTAGCAGTGAACATCTTATCTCCTGTCAACCAGATTTCTCAAATTTTGCGTCCTGTCGCTTGAGTCCTGTACCCCGTCTGTATCTCTGTCTCTCCGTCATATTTGTGTGGCGGTGTGTCAGGTGTTGATTTAAATTCCGTCTTTCCATTCGTCTTTTAAATCCGTTGTCGATTCCCTTCCGTCTTGTGAAGGTCTCAAGAGGCTAGAGTGGAGAAGTAAGTAGTGACATTTATATCATTTGTCGCCTCCCTATCGTAGACAACTAAATTAAACGATAAATAATTTTGAAAGTAATAAAGAATTGAATTATAATCAGGATATAAGACTTGATTGATAACATCGATTTAGAAAGTATTATTGACTTATAAAATCCAGGCAAGTTTTTTAGATTATAATGACAGGTGATTTGCAGGTGTTAATCAGGTGGTGTTCTTAGCTGGAGACGTGAGGTGGTAAGGTTAGGTTAAGTGGTCAAAAGACAGGTAACGGGTCATCTCGGCTGGGTAAAGCATTTGAGTGCAAACTGGTTGGGGGAGTTGGAGGTGTAGTGGGTGTGGGTGGGGGTGTGGGTGTGGGTGGGGGTGTGGGTGCGGGTGGGCCAAACGACTCCTACGCCAGGAGGGAAGGTGACCAGGAACTACTTACTACCTGTGTGTATGTATGTACCTGTATCAACGCCCACACCTACAGGCTTAAAAGTTATTGGGTCATTGTCACTGATGGAAGGGCGACTTTCACACACCCAGAGAGAGAGAGAGAGAGAGATATCACAAAAACAAAGTACAGAAATCGTGTGTTTAAGACGTCGGAAGTTCGTGTCAGCTGTTTGTATACATTTCGTGCTCGTAATAACAGCTTAAGTTGGCGGCAATCATGTGTTATCATGTGATGGTTATCTTGTACTGATTCAAAGTACAGTAGCGTGAGAGTTTTGTTGAATTAAATATTACATTTCAACCAAACAGTCAAAAGTATGTCCAAAATATAAATATCTTACTCGTCTGCCACATAACTCATTCACATCATTATAGTTAGCTTAGATTTGTGTGAAATGTAATGTTGATATAATCCCACCAAATCATGACCACACTCTTGAATTATTATATAAATTAGTACCGTTTGAACATCACAATACTTCATACATTACAATATTGCTCGTAAAATGTAAACAATATCTACACACCTGAGTTACGTGATGAAGTGTGTGGATTACCTGAACTCATGCAGATGTTCCGAGAATGAGGATGTCACATACAGTACAAAAAAAACCCAGAAACCGGAGCCAAGTGTTTATTTGTAGACAGTAAGTGGCTGAGGGGAAACATTAACACCTTGAGAAGAATTCTGAGGGAAATACAGGGGGGGGGGCATACACCTGCTTAATTACACCACAGTTACACCGACACTGTATAAATAACACCACTGAAAACAAAATCACTATAGTTAATACCCCTACACTTTCTCCCTTCATATTATCAACTACTAAATTATATAACAAGTATACATGGCTGAGTAGTAGTTAGTGTGTCTTGTAATTGTTAAGTATTGGTGCTCATTATCTCCAGTATGATGTTGCAAAGGGTTAATGGATGTTGCTTCTGTTGCGTAATTGTGGACCATCGCTTGACATTGTTTCTCAAGGTAAATTGTTATGTTATCATTGCTGGGTTTATGTTAGGTTAGTGTGTGTGTGTGTGTGTGTGTGTGTGTGTGTGTGTGTGTGTGTGTGTGTGTGGCCAGTAGTCGAAACAGTACACCCAGTCACACACACACACACACACGCACGCACGCATACGCACACACGCACATACCTCAGTGTCAGGTAAACTCCCCCCTTCACCTCTTGTCTACCTGACGGCATCTTTTTGTCTCCTTTTCCCGCAAAATCAAATTACTACTACTCCCTCCCTCCCCGTCCTCCTCCTCATTCCCCTTCCCTTCCCCCTCGTCTTCCTCCCCTCCTTTTGTCCTCCTCCTCTCCCTTCATCCTCTAACTCCTCCCTAACCTTCTCTTCCTACTCCTCCCCCTGACCGCATGTTTTTACCTCCTAGCCTCAGAGTTACATCATCACCTCCTCCTCCTAACCGCACTCCTTTGTTTTTTCCCCCCGAACAGAGTTGGAGCCGAGGTTGCGGATGGCGGTGGTGGTTGCGGCAACAGAACGGACGCTGGCGAGGCGGCTGCAATGCGTGGAGGAGGTGTACGGGCAACACCTGCGACGCCTCACCTCCGTCACCCATTACCAGTACGAGCTCCTCTTCGGCGGCGTCGCTCCTATACTGACGCAGTCCCAGGACCTGCTTACTAGGGTGGGTACTGTGGAGGGAAGGGCTTACTAGGGTGGGTACTGTGGAGGGAAGGTCTTACTAGGGTGGGTACTGTGGAGGGAAGGCGGGAGACACAAACACACACTGATGATGTCCTTGGCGTTCGTGAGGCCCTGGGCTAGAGTGGCCTTGGGAACGCCCGAGAAGTTAAGAAATATTTGAGGAATTTCTGAAGTAAACCACATTTTTCACTCACACACACACACACACACACACACACACACACACACAAGGCCAGCTCGAGGGCGTGGGAGTAAGGCCGTTGAGGTGGTGCCATCTTTGGACACCATCTGTTTTATGCCTGTCCCCCCCCCCCGCCCAGTACTCCGTGTGTGTGTGTGTGTGATTGTCTGCCATTTACATATGTGCATATACATACACACGTACATGTACAGTAGCTAAAACAACTAACTGTGCAGCTGGGGGTCGATATGCTCCGAAATTTTACGTGTGACTAGTGACAGCCTTCATATACCAAAATTTATCGTCCATGGTTCTCATATTGTTTCCCACAAAGTATACACAGATAGTTGTTTTAGCTACTGTACACACACACACACACACACACACACATAACTATCTTACTCGTATTATTACAGTATTATGAAACTAAAACAGTGTTCACTCAGGGGTTTAAGTTGTCCTGCGAGCAACCTGTAGGTGGTGATCGACCTTCATGAGAGCTTACACACAAGTCACAATATGTAGTAAACAAATAGAATAAAACCTGAGAGAGTTACCATCATGAATGCATCCTATAGTAGCTTCAGTTCTCTCTCCCGCACGCACGTTTATACACCTGGTGCGTCGCTCGTCCACCTGCTGCACCTGTATGGCATTAATAGGAGCCTCACCTGTGTGTACACTCCCACCATACCATACCTGGCCGTCTAGTGTTAACACCTGTGGGGCCGAGCCAACTAGTAGTAAGGTCACTGTTGATAAGAGCTCTCTCTCTCTCTCTCTCTCTCTCTCTCTCTCTCTCTCTCTCTCTCTCTCTCTCTCTCTCTCTCTCTCCCCCCTCGTACGACCTAGGTTATAGCTCCTATGTATAAAGGAATTAGACTTGTTTATTCGTTCCCCGTTTTGCCTTCTGTCACAGCTTGATGGAGGGTGGACAGTCAACACAGTCGTAAAGTTAAGTGTTAACAGTACCTCCCCCCTACACACCCCTCTCTCACCCAGTACACTACACCCAACTCAGTGCAGGTATACAACATACATAGACAGTACAAGTATACATACAAGTATACATGCAATAGATTCATACATACATAAAAGCCTACAGTAGATCCACCAGGGTAAGACATTAACATACGTAAGTGTGGAACCAACATTACTCGTGTTTGTATTACGTGTTGGGTCATGTATAGAGCTGTGTGCTGTTGTCTGCCTGTAGCTTGGTGTAAGGTCTCTGGGTTAGGGGTTACGGCTGGGTTAGGGGTTACGGCTGGGTTAGGGTTTACGGCTGGGTTAGGGTTTACGGCTGGGTTAGGGGTTACGGCTGGGTTAGGGGTTACAGCTGGGTTAGGGTTACGGCTGGGTTAGGGGGTTATGGCTGGGTTAGGGGGTTTGGCTGGGTTGGTTGCAGCTGGGTTAGTTGGGTTAGGGGTTACGGCTGGGTTAGGGGTTACAGCTGGGTTAGGGGTTACAGCTGGGTTGGGGTTATCTTGGGTTAGGGGTTATAGCTGGGTTAGGTGTTACAGCTGGGTTAGGGGTTACAGCTGGGTTAGGGGTTGGTTAGGGGTTATAGCTTGAGTTGGGTGTTACAGCGGCTGAGTTGGGGTTTGGAGTTGGGGTTACGGCTGGGTTAGGAGTTGCAGCTTCACCTCCGTCCAATTGTTGTTGTTGTTTATGTTATTGTTGTGGGTTAGAGGTGATTATTTTTTCCTGTACCTTTCTTCTTAAACTCTCCTTTCCTTTCTCATCCTTCCCTCTCTCCTTCTTACATTCCCCCCTCCCTCCTTCCACATTTCCATTTTTTCCTCCCCCCTCTCTTCCCTTTCCTCCTCTCCCCCTCTCCCTCTCATTTACTTCATCTATTATTTAATTTTCCATATAGTGTTATCAAATTGTCTTCCAGGTGTATTAATTAACGGTGTTCTTAATTAATATACAGGTAATCTAATCTAATTTTGTTTATTGGTTTTTCTCGTGTATTTTCAGTTGGAGGGGACCATAGCCACCTGGGACCCGGATGAGTCTTGTCTCGGTAAGTGTGTCTGTCTTATTGTGTTTACCTCGTGTGTGTGTGTCCGTCCGTCCGTCTGGTTAGTCTGCACATTATCTTGACAGTGTGGACAACGTTAATGCTGATGCGAAACTGGAGTCAACTGGCTCGAGTAGACCTGTTCCTCGTCCATATAGGTACACGGAGGGAGACTCTAGCCGTGGTGTGATAATTTGAATGAGCCACGGAACTAGAATGTGTCACCAACCTGGAGGTACTGATTAATTTTTCTACCTGTGTGTGGCAACGAGAGAACGCACAGTGCATACTATAAGTCGTAATAAGTGACCATCACGATACGTAAATCTCCTTAATGAAAAAAAAAATAATTGCTGACGTTTCTAGTATTGGGTTTACAGGCTCATGTCACCTTGCACAACCTCATGTTACCTTATACAGCCTCATGTTACCTTGCACAACCTCATGTTACCTTATACAGGCTCATGTCACCTTGCACAACCTCATGTTACCTTATACAGCCTCATGTTACCTTGCACAACCTCATGTTACCTTATACAGCCTCATGTCACCTTGCACAACCTCATGTTACCTTATACAGCCTCATGTCACCTCACTCAACCTTGTAATAATGGTTGCCCCTCGTGGTTGACTATTTGGCCCTCAGGCTACCCGGTCGTGAACCTGTTGACGGTGTACAAGCTGCCGCCGTGTGATCATGTGTCAAGAAATAACCCAGGAAGATCGGGCAGCTCGCCAACTGCACTGGCTAACCACTAAACCGTACCGCGATCCGCTAATCGATTATCTTCGAGGTTCACCATTACTGTCGCGTGGATAGGAGACGAATGGCGTAAAGAAACTCGCTCACAGTTGCACTTTGCCTGGGGGTCGAACCAGGGGCCACTCGCTTCTGAGGCAACAGGTGGGGCGTAGCAAGTAACAGGTGTGGGTGAAGCAGGAACAGGTGTGGGTGCAGCAGGTGAGGGGAGGGTGTAGCAATAGGCAGGAGGTGGACAAATAGTATCCCGAAGCGGACACCCCACTGGGCTCCACCCTCCATTATCATCACACACACACACACACACACACACACACACACACACGTAAATCAAACAATGCAAACGTTTTGCCCTGGGGGGAAAAACGTTCATATCGTGCTCAAGGTGACCAGACAGTAAACAATGCTCTATTCTTATTACTGTCGGATAAAAAGCGATAATTTTTCGAGGTGTCACCCCCAAACCCTGCAAACAATGTCACAGTTCTAGTACTAACGTAAGCAACCTAACGAGTACTGCTCATTCAAACAATACAAACACAAGCATCCTAGCAAGCACTGGACAATGCTAACAGTTCAAACGAGTCATTGATCCCGGCATCCTCGCAAGAACTGGACATGCTACCAGTACAAGCAGGGGGTAGGTTCTAGCACCACGACGAACATTATAACAAGCACTGGACATTCTACCTGAAAGACAAATCACTACTTTCGCCTCTAACACGGGGATGATTAAGCCTACTGGGTATTTTTGTGCAAGTCCCGCTAGATGGTAGGGTGGGGTGGGGTAGTTGAGGGGTGGTGAGGGGTGGGATAGTTAGGGGTACTGTGAGGTTGTGTGAGAAGGGGTAGTGAGAAGTTGGGTGTGGAGGGATGGAGACTGGGGGAGGGAGGGGGGGGAGGAATAGTTGTACTGGGCACGGAGCACACTGGTCCCGCTGTAGGGCAGAACGGAAGTAGAAGTAGACAACAAACTGGTAGAGAAAGGTCGTGGCGTGGCCTAGTGAGGTGGACGGGATGACTGAGGGCGTAGATAACATCCCATCGAGGAGTAAAAGACCCAGTAGAAAATATCCTACTGGCGGAAAATCCCATCAGCGAGATCACACAGGTGGGCAAGCACACATCAGCTGCTGGTGTTGTGGACTGCTACAGGAGCGGCCTGGAGACGTGTGGATTAAATAGGTGGATGAGCGTCTTATGGGTGTGAAGGGGGGAAGGAGGGAGGGAGAGAGAAATCAGGTAAATAGGAAGGTAATAGGTCACTGGGTATCTAAACTTGTCAAATGAAAGAAGTTGGTGGATGGATGGCTATAGGTACTGTACAGTAGTTGGTGATTGGGAAGGAGAGGAGAGGATAGGTGTGTGGGTAAGGGGGTGTAGCGGTGTGGGTGGGGTCTGTAGCGGTGTGGGTAGGGGTGTCAGCGGTGTGGAGTGAGGTGTAGCGGTGTGGGTGGGGTGTAGCGGTGTGGGTGGGGTGTGGGTGTGTGGGTGGGGTTGGTGTGGGTGGGGGTGTGGCGGTGTGGGTGGGGTGTGGTGTGGGTGGTGGGTGCTGTGTGTGGGTGGGGTGTGGCGGTGTGGGTGGGGGTGTCAGCGGTGTGGGTGGGGTGTGGCGGTGTGGGTGGGGGTGTGGTGTGGGGTGGGGGTGTGGCCGGTGTGGGTGGGGAGTTAGCCCCGGTGTGGGTGGGGTGTGGTGTGGGTGGGGGTGTGTGTGGGTGGGGGTTGTGGCGGGTGTGGGTGGGGTGTGGCGGTGTGGGTGGGGTTGTGGTGTGGGTGGGGATTAGCCAGCGGTGTGGGTAGGGGTGTAGCGGTGTGGGTAGGGGGTGTAGTTTTATGAGGGTGGGCACTGTTGTTCTACTGGTCGGAGTAGGTCGGGGTGGTGGTGGGGGGTGAGGGTGTTGAGGTCGTGGTGAGAGTGGTGGGGGTCCCTTACTATGCAAGTCATGTGTGGTTGTGGTGGTGGGTAGTCTAACAGGCACTGGTGTGTGTGTGTGTGTACATTTAAAGAAGTGTGCCAACCACCCCATACTCTTGCTGCCTCTCGCCGCCTACCTCATTATCAACAACCACTACCTTCACTCACCCATCGCCCTGTCTCACCCACCACCACCACACTCCTCCACCAATGGCTTCTCACTCTCCAAGCTAAACACCACATGACCACATATGCTGCTTGTGTAAAGATACGCATCGGTGGACTATACCTTACCTCTACCATACCTGTCCCTTCCTACCATGCCTCTCCCTTCCTATACCATACTGTACTACTAACCAAACAAACAAAGAAACCACCCAACCATAAACTCCTGTACTATATCCAGGTTTAGCACGATAACCTTCAGGATTATATAATTCAGGTACAGTAATTGGTATTCAAGCGTACACCTTCAGGAGTTTCCATTTGGGTGACGGTATCCTGGAAGTCGCTCCTTAATACCTGTTATTGAGGTGAGGAAAAGTTAATTAAGAAGAAATACCTGTTTATTTACCATACAGGTGTTTTTTGGGGGAGGGGGGGGGCAATTAGGTTCACGTCCTTATAACAGGTAGTGAGAATGTCATAATAGGTGAGGTTGTTAAATATTTTTTACTCTACCTGGTTATATAGAATCGGATACTCTTATAAAGGTAATTATTAGGTTCTATATCCCCGGTGTGTTAAAATGGTGTTGACTGCTGCTTACAAGTGACCAGACCTGTTGAACCTAATCACAGCCGAGTCAAGGTGGCGTGATAACCTATATTTAGTTAGATTTGTGTCTATTAATGGCTAAATCCAGTCATTTTTAACGTTATAACGGGGAAGCCTTAACCTCAATATGCCCAAGTGGACCCTAACTATACTGTGTGTTTTGTGTTGAACCTTCAGCTCGATGTATTGAAGTTGTGTGGAATGTTTGATATAATCTCTCTCTCTCTCTCTCTCTCTCTCTCTCTCTCTCTCTCTCTCTCTCTCTCTCTCTCTCTCTGGTGTGTGTGTTGGTACAGTGGTGTGTCTGTCGGCTTCACCTCACCAAGGGCCGAAGGGAGAGACTCGCATCAACATGGGAATGCAGCAACCTAGATATACCCTTGACACACACACACACACACACACCAAATGAGAGTTGAAGAGTTGTAAATAAGTTTTTTTTTTCTTAATTATTAATGTAAATAAACAAAATATAAATAACACAGACCTTTATCGACTTGCCGGGGTTAGGTTAGGTTAGGTTAGGTTAGATTTGGTTAGGTAAGGTTAGATTAAGTTTGGTTTGGTTAGATTAGGTTAGGTTTGGCATTATCTTGAACTCGTATCTGTCCTGTGTAAATGGTCACGTATCCATCAGCGGCTTGTAGTGTCTGTCTCTGTCTGTCGTTTAACAAGTGGCGAAATTTATCTCAATTTTCTCCCCGGTTTACTTCACTACATCAAAGTGTGTATAAGTAGGACCTGTGTAGTGGAGGAGGCTCTTGAGGGTATACTCCACATCATTGGCTCCTCGTTCTTGTCCAATCACCGTAAATCTTCTTGTATTCTTATCCAATCAGCATCAAGGTGCCTGTGTCTTTATAGCCAATGAGCGTCAAGGCTGTTGTGTTCTTATCCAGATTGCGGGGGATTGGTTGCTTTCCCTCTCAATTTAAAACATAAAAATGGTGTTATTTAGCCAATCACGATCGAGAAACATGTGTTATCAGCCAATCAGGTTAGAGACGGAAGCATCCTTCGACCCTATATGTCCTTGGCAACGTACATGGGAGGGGGGGGAGGAAGTGGTCAAGTTTTATGTAGAACAAAGAAAATTGATGTTACTTTACCTTACCACACCACACGACACCACACCACTCCACACCACACCACTCCACACCACACCACACCACACCACCCACACCACACCACCACACCACACACACCCTCCACACCCCCACACACCCCACCACCCCACCACCTCCTCCCTCCCTCCCTCCCTCCCACCACACCCACACCACCCACACCACACTCCCCTCCACTCCACTCCACCACACCACACCACACCACACCTGAAAACTTACCTGTAGTACAAGGATCCCAGGTAAAAGGAAGCGTTGAACCAGGAACCTCACACCTGGAGTCACGAGTCAAACACTTGAGACTACCAGGGTGAAGGAGAGAACACAAATAATGTAAGAGGGTAAATGAAGAGCCGGAAATGTAACCCTTCAACAACTGTGGATATCTTGAGGGTGTTCCTGTGTCCGGAGGGTCATGACTTGTGCCTGG